TGGGATGCGTATTACTACACTTCAATAGAAGCGGGTTAAAGTACAATAACAAAAAAAGCAAAAAGAAAAATAACATAAATTAGAAATAATAACAGCAAAAAATCTAAGAAAATACCTAAGCATATACACACGTACGTTTACATGCATTATACAAAAAAGCAATAGGTTGTGGGAAAAAATATATGCACACCTGAAAACACCCACACGTCACATACGAGTAAAAATAATAAGTATTTGAGGCAGGTTTATATGCATGTACACTGGTGGCGAAACAAACCATACCACCAATTCTTCTTTTTAGTAAAATTTGTAGAGATTAAAAAAAATTGTTTTTTTTTTTTAATAAAGTTCAAATCGCAAAAAAAGCTACATAAAAAAAGATTCAAACTTTGTTCACAATCAACTAATCAAATTTTCAAACTTTTTAATACAAATTTTTTAGGAAAATTTTGAATATGCAGTTTAATAGCCCACTTAATTCTAATATAATAAAGAACAAGTTTGAAGTGATGCAAAGTTCTGGTTGATTTTTGACAATTTTTGAAATACCATGTGGCAGATTGTTCCATATAAAAAGCATTCGTTACATGGAAAAGCTACACAAGACCGTCGACAAAACAATTTTCATGAATCGTCGAGGCACTTCAAAGTTGCACTAAAATTAAATAGCCATTAAAACACTTACCCGCAATTTTCATACAAATTTTTATTAAATTTTTAATTTTGTACAAAGTTGGAAACTTTCATTTATAGAGCTTTTGGTGCGGTTTGAACTACATAATTTGTATATTTTAAAAAATTATAATTACATTTATTTAAAAAATAAAATTCTACCACATTTAAAACATAGCGATGGTAAGGTTTGTGTGGCCACGAGTGTATGTAGCCTTATCTGGCTCGAATAGTAAATTGCAACGCCCATGGTTAACATGCCCACAACAACAGTAGTACTCTATTTTGCTTTTAAGCAATGAAGATGCCAATTGATGTTACAGAAGAAGTATAAATTGTAAGTGTGTATTTACTATGTCTGTATGTATTTCTGAGTGTGTGTTTTTTCATATGCTACCTGCAACTTGGCTGCAAATTCACTTACAATAGCCGCATTGCAGACTTCCTATCTTGACAAAAAACCACATGCACTAAGCGTAGCACATACATAAGTACGTATGTATGTACATATGAGCCTGTATAAAAAAATTTACAAAAAAAAAAATTAAATAAAAACCTTTCTGTCGCATCTTATATCCTAGCATAGCAAAGTAACGCAATTTGGACAGCAAAGAAGGGCAACGTGAATTTTTCGTTTACAACAGTCCAGCACAGAAATTTTCGTATTTGTACATACATATATCCCGCTGTGCATTGGATTTCCAAAAAAGTAAATGATAAATAAGTTTAATGCATTGCAGTTACGGTTTATCAACTTTGATTACCAGCTGGCAGACTCCTTTGTGAATAAATGCAGGCAGACAACTAACTGACGAAATGCATTTACCCGTTTCTATGTACATACGTACATAAATGTACATATTTACTATAGATGTATACATACACACATATTTATGTATGTATGTCCACACGTTCAAGGTAATGTGAACTACCTTGCGGTAAACATCCGCCTATTCACTCGCCACTCTGATCGATCATGACAGGAAGAGTAAACAGCACATCCTTAACTAAGCAAACATCAGTCCGCAACGTTTTTGTGGCTTGTTCACTTATGTTAAGGTCAGCTCTACAGCACTTCTGGATTATTTTATTTACCCTCTTTCGCGAGTTGAATACATAAAAATAACCTCGACAGGAAACAGGATAAATAAAAAAATCATCGTTTCGAAGATTACCCAATATGTATGGAATAGATATCAGGAAGCCAAATATAAGTAAACATCCAGATGACAAAATATTCGTCTGATTTTTAAATGAAGTATTCTAAGTAAAGAAAGATTTTTTTAAACCACTACAATAAATCATGAAATAAAACTAGTTGTTTTGTTACCAGTCATTAAGAGTTTAGTAATATGACCATGGATGGAGAAAAATGCAATTCAGATAGAGTTTTTAAAAACTTTACTCTTAAAATAGAAATGCTTTATGCCCAGCGTTGCCGAATTGACGATTTGAATTTAATGAAAATTTCATTTTCTCTGTGCCTATCAACAGCGGATTCGTAGCTTTTTTCCTAAAGAAAAAAATTAATTATAGCAAAAAATGTAAGGAATTTGATTTATTCAAATACTTTAAATCTTTCGGTAGCGGGCGGATTTAAAATTGAATAAATATCGAACAGCTGATTGCAGTTTACCAACTACCAGAAAAAATAACAAGCTTCCATCATAGTAATTCGGTAACCGGTACAACGATAATAAAATAATTTTACACAAACAAAATACATTGGGCAAAATTACCGATCACCGAGAACAAAGCTCGGTGTGAAGACCCCTTCAACCAGTGGCGTTCAACTATTTAAAAGCAGTTGTGTTTTAAATTGCCGTTAACAATGGCAAATCCTTTTTTATTAACCCATTCCATTTGGTTTTGTAATGTGTGGTCGTATTTATTGGGCCGTATGCATGAAACCTAAGTAAATGTTTTTTTTTTTAATCTCAGACTTTTTACTCAATTTGTTCAAATAAAATTAAGTTAAAGGTATGCAACTAAAAAAAAAAACAATTGCTTAGTCTGTATGCGAGTCGTATGCATTGCATGTACTTCCTTTGTATTTTTTATTTTGTTAAGACAGCAACAACAATCTAAAAAGTACTTGTTGAAGAATGCTCTCCACCTTTTCCTCGTCTCTGCAACTGCGACAAAAATCATTGGTGGGTTATTCTAACCTTTTTTCCGTGTTTGCCCATCAGGCGGTGTTTGATAATTATCACGACTAGTAATCTCAGAGAGCAAAGGTGCAGCCAAGTGGGAGCTATGGATCACCATAATCAATCCTTTGTCCAAATTTGCCTGGTAGTATGGCAGGTGGTTTCCACAGCCCACCGGGGTTTACATCCTCGATGAGTTCGGTCTTTAGTCTGTGTTTGCAGGAAGTCAAAAATATGCATTTTGAGCAAAATTTACTTCTAACATTCGCGTCCCCCTCCTTGCCAGCTCGGCGGTTGCCAGGATTGTCCCTGCGCCCATGGACCCATACAACAGTCAAGGAGCATTTTGTTGCCTGCAAGTTGAGGGTCTTTATGCAGTCTATAGCTACTTTGGACGTTGTTCCGTAAGATTTAAGAGATTTAATAGCAGCCTGGCTACTGGAGAGGCAGAGGTTATGAACCTCCGAGCGGCCTCCATTATGGCGTTTAGCTCTGCTTGGAGAACGCTACAATGGTCCGGCAAATTAAAACTGATGTTTAGCGCGAGTTCGCCAGAGTTAACCCGCTACTCACTCTTTCCTTAAGCTTGGAGCCATATGTACATATAGCCGTCGACGCTGAGTTTAAGTCTGTGGTAACTTCCTATTCCTTCCTCTCTGGGAGTTTTATGGAGAATTTGTTGTCTAAACAGAGTAGATGAGTGGTATAATCTAGCTGTCATAGATTATCTGGTAGAGTTTCAAGTACTTTTGCGTGTCCGAATCTGAGGTCTCCCCACGGCTGGAGCGTATTTAACCTGGGCGCACTGCACGCGCCCGTAGAGATCGACAGGTGGAAGATTTTAAATTATTTCCAAGGTCTTGGTGGGTGTAGTGGGCAGTGCTCCCGTAGCAAGCATGAGCAAGACTTATCACAGCTGTGTACATTCAGTGTATACATGTGGTTTATTCAAAATTTTTTTGCCTATAGCTGACTTACATGCATACTGGGTGGTTGTTGTTGTTGTTATAGCAGCATACAAATTCCCCAAAGACTTTTTGGGGAGTGTTGCTGGAGTGACAGTCCTTGGCCAGATATAAATCTGGGTCATTCCGGTTACGTAGACCCGATTAGGTGGTATTGGCCTTCGCTTAAAGTCAAGTTCCTTGTCTAGAAAAACTCCGCGGTTTAGGGTGTGTTTTATACTTTCTTGTGAATGACATTTCGGTCTTGGATCCTCCGACGCTAAGTCCACATTCCTTGGACCATATATTTCAAGACTTAGTGCATTTCGAAATAACTCTTTCGGGACCTGCGCATGTTTGCCCGTTTCTACGATTGCTATGAGTAAAGGCGAGAGAACGCCCGGCAGGGGAGTGCCCCTGGTCACATAGAGCCATCCCTCAGTTATTTTGGAATTGTTCTCTTTTCGATAAGGAGCCCAAAAAAATCTACCAGACCCCGTTGCACCACCAAAATAGGAGGGAGATGACTACAGACTTCGGATAGACATTGTTGAAAGAAAATCTCCGAGCGTGTATTTTTTTATGACTACCACACAGAGGCCGAGAAGAAAATTGCGTTGCTAACAAAGTACATAAATACTATATAACAAGAAGATAAACTTCTTGATCTATATCAATACTTCTACTTATAAGGGCATTTCTGCTCTCTTCTTGCGAGCCTTGGTTTGAACTCCAGTTTTCCAAAATTAAAAAAGAAACAACTGTTGGTCAAACTTTAAAGGGACAAGTGAAGTGTAGGAGGAAAAACATTCGACGGACCAGGAACTCGCTGAGATGATTACTGCGGAAGCTGTCACGATGACGAAGGCAATGACGGCAACGCGGCGAGTGGCTGAGCGTTGAGCGGCTTAAAATTAAAACATATGAAATACTATTGAAGTGGCCACCCAGGAATAAAAGCCGCTCATTACGTGGCCTCGGCCTAAGAAGACGAGTTCGTGCAAACCACTAATAAACATAGTCTAAGAAATGTCTTTCAATATATGAAAATGCCTCTTTAATCATTCCTACACGTGAACTCTCTGGAAAAAATATTAGAAAAGCCGTTCATCGGAAATGGCACACGAACAGCAATCAACTATATCCTTTCAACAAACAAATTTTTCCCTATATTAAGAATAAAATTCCCACTAAATGTTCCAAAAATATCAGAAAAATAATCTAGGGCACTCACCTCTTCACACTGCGGCACCGCTTCATATTTTCTGCCTCCTTTACACTGTCCCAGGAATCGCCAACTCCAAGCGATGACATTTCGTCTAAACGTTCCTCATCTTCCAATCCCGAATCCTCCAAACTAATGTGACAGCTGGTCATGGTAACCTCCTTGCCATTATCGCCGACCTCTATCCAATCGGAAGTGCGTATGCGTGCCGAGCGCTCAGTACCGTACGGTGACGAGTCCGATGAGCAGCCCGAAGGACAACGCTTCCTTGGCGTACCGACACCATTAAACTTATTGTTTCTGTTATTCTTCTGCAAATCATCTTCATCGCCATCTTCTGTATCTTCTACATTATCTGCATCGACATCTTCAGTATCGGGATCCTGATCCTCAATTGAATTGCAACGTTTACGCGAATGGGTTTTATAGGTTTTGGCGGTGCTACTGTTTGATGGCAACGGGTTTTTTGCTGCTTCCGCTGCTGTTGTAGCAATGATGCTTGTTGTGGTTATCTTAGTGATCGGCTCCGATACTGGGCTAGTCAAAGGCGTACGCTCTTTCTTATTAACTTTAGGTGTTTCTGCACGGGTCAGATTTTCCATGGAGCAACTTCTGCCGCGCATTGCTGCCAATTCAGAAATGAGGATCTCATGGAAAGCTGCCTTTTTCTCGGGTGATTTTAGTATATTTTCGATTTTTCCGCCGCTGCTGTGGGCGCTATCACTGGTATTGATATTTATACGCGTACAATTGTTAGTTGTCTCCCCGGTTGTGACGACAGTTACCGAAGCACCAACCCCCGCGACATTGCGTTGTGCAGCCAATTCCTGTGTTAAGAGCATCGGATGTTGCATAGCTGGCTCATGTTTCGTTATTATTGGAGACTCGTTGCCGTGGCGTTGCTGATTTACTATAATTTCCGAAAACAAACGCTCGGCCGCATTCTTCAGATTATTTTTCAGCTCAGCTGTTTTGCCGCCAAGAAAGGTGTTGGCCACACCTCCCGTATTGATCGTAGTGATATTGGCACGTGATGTAAAATTGTCGAGTGTAGTTTTTGAACGGCGGAATATACTAACACTGGATGAATGCGATTGGGCACCATTGGTCGAGGCAGTGTCATCCAGATCCATTGTGGCAACGGGGACTTTCACAATTTTGCGCGGCCGCGGCAATGGCTGCACCGATGTCGGTAACTGATCCAGCTGTATCTTGCCAACACGCTCAAAATCGACGCGACCCAAACTAAGACGTGTATCCTTAATGGTGTTCGCCTGCGATTGCGATTTCGGTGAGCCGCTACCCATCGAGTGGTGACGGCTGAGGTTGACTGCGCTAGCCGCCGTTTGGACGATAACGATATTACTGTTGGCATTAGACACTTCAGTTGGACTTACAGAGCTTGCTGGCGCTGATGGTGGACTTTTACCGAGCGCGACGCTGTTAACAGGCACTTTGGTGACGCTACCTTCTTTATCCAGCGCTCCAGTGATGGCATCATTTTGGACAGCTGTAGCTTTTGGTTTCATTGTCGGTATATCTGGTGCCTTGCGTAGCTTTAACGGCGGCTTTGGACCGATATTGGTGCCTGATCTGGTGGTAGTGATACCAGTACTAGCGCCTAGAGGGGCACCAGCTGTGGGTGGTGGTGCTTCCGGACGTTTTGGTGCACTCATTGAGGGCGACTTGTAAATAATTGTACGACCGCCAGCACCGCCACTAACTGAGCTCAGCGATGGCTTCTTCTGTATGATCGGATGTTGTGAATTGTGCTGCATTTCAGCTGTGGCGGTCACATTGCCAATACTCACGCGACTACTCAAAACCGACGAACTCGAAGCAAAACTGGTTGCTGCTGTTCCTGTTGTGGCTGCAACACGATTCTGTTGTGCCACAGCATTCATAACTGAATCTCCATTGCGTTGTGTTTTCAATAAACCCGCTGCGTGTGCGCTTGCATGCGATGGCCTCGGCGGAACGGGCGGTCCAGCTTTTTTCAACGGCATTATAGCCGGCACCGTTGCAGATATTATTGTTTTTGTTGGTGTAGTTGGTATTGTAGCTGTAGTTGCTGTTGGCGTTGCCATAGCTGGTTTTGCTTAGTTGTCCGCGCGACTCGTCGTCGTCGCCTGCTCTGCTGCGCCTTAGTCTAGTCCGACTAACCGCTAGTAGCAATGGTTTATTGCTCGTTAATTTATATGTCACTATTTGTGTGTGTGTGTGTGTGTGTGTGAATTGATGTTTATGTTAACTGCAGTTGTTCTGTGGTTCTGACTCTGGTCGTCGTCAGTCGATACAATAGCCAACCGAAAACCCGTATTTGTAGGTCACTTTTTGCTTGCGGTACGTTGTCGTAGCTGCACTTTTAGTGGTACTAAACTCGTTTTCCACCGCACTGTCAGCTCACCACCTCTCAGCGTCGTCGTCTTTTGACCAGTTGATTTAAAAACTTACTATGGCTGCATTTGCGTCGCACCTTTATACTATTCGACTATTCGCAATATTAGCGAACGTCAGCATTAGCACCTTTGCCGCTGTCAAGCTAGTTTATAGATTATTGTCTACTCCGCAGGCGTTCCTGACTTTTGCTTTAGATACTTTTTAGTTTAACTTTTCCACACACACAGCGCGCGCGCGCGCACTCGCGAATATTCGTATGAAAATATCGGAGGCTGAGTCTGTGTCTAAATTTGAATGTAGGTTAGTTGGGTACTTTGCCGGGCACTTTGCGCGTTTCATTAGCTCTACATACGCTATCTGTGCGCATAGAGAGTGACAACTAACTGGCCGTGGTCCAGTCGATTTGCGCTGCTTTGCTGTACTCGTTTTCATCTACACAATGTACTGCAGCGTTAAAAAAGAAAAGTTTGCTACATTTTACACACTCGCTTAGCGATTCAAATATGAACGTATGTATGTATGTAGTTATTTAGGATGCCACTCATAGGCGAATGCAGCGGCTACCGATTTACTACGACCGCGTTCACAAACAACCGTAGGAGGAGGTGTAGGAGGTAAGAGTGTTTTGGGAGGTTTACGTTTTACTTTTCACGCTCGCGTATTTCGCCGCTTCACACGTTGCGCGCTGCACTCGTTAAATCACGCTTCACACTCGCGGCACACAGACTCGACCATGCTTGCTTAGTGAGGTAGGCATATGAATTAGCGCACGCGCAGGCGTAGCAATAAGCAGCACACTTCCCGTGTGGTATTCACTCGAAAATGTGGCATATACCGAAAAATAGAAACAGAGCACGAATGTTGCGTTGCTGTTGATGCAGGCAATGAAAAAGCACTTCAGTTTTATGTTGTCGGCACTGCATCTGGTTGGCTAGTGTTAATGGTATTGCTGTTTTTTTGTTGTTGTTTTATTGCGTTTAATGGGTTTTGTTGTTATTATTTGGTTTAATGCATTTCATTTTGTCTATTTTTGGGGGAAAAAAACGTTCACATTTGTATATTTATTTAATGCCGTTTGGGTGTCAGTGAAAGGTTTTCGATTTTATTTCTTTGTGTTATATATGTATTTTTATGATTTGCTTGCACGACAGCAGGGAGCGTTATTTTTATTTTTTTTTTTTTATGTAAGTTTTCACCTTTCCTTTTCACCACATCATTGTGAATATTGCTGCTGTCGTTTTTGATACAATCTTTTTTGGTGGGATTCTACTTCCGTCGCACTTTTTTTGGAGTATTCGTTCAATAGCACTAGATAGAAAACTGGATTATTAATAAAATTAGGATGCTATGCAAACATACAAATGTACATAGACACATACGGAATATCCGTTATTATTCTACATGAGAATTGCATTTTAACTGGATAGTTTTTGCAGATCAATGTCTCGTATTTGATAGGAGAGTCAATCCATGTCAAATCGACCAATGATTGGAATCGATTATTTTTGATTTGGATTAATTTTGATCAGAACTTTTCTTTTATCATATAACAAAGTTCTGCCGAGGGAAAAAAATAAAAAATTTATTTTCCAAAGTTGCAAAGTTCTAAATTTCACAATTCCCGGGATTTCACAAGTATGTATATTTTTTGAATATCTCAAAACTATTTTAGTTACAAATATGGTTTCGTTTACAGCCGATATTTATAGCTATAAATAAAAACCGGTACGAAAAAAATTCGAAAAAATATATTTTTAATACTTTTTTCTTTATTTAAAAAAATCGTGAAAGCAAAAACTTATAGAAAATGTATAGCTAAATTTTTTCATACATTACCTCCAACTATTTTTTTACTTATAAATTTTTGAACTATGAAAAAAAAAATCAAGCTCTTAATGAAGTTATATTAATCGATTTTTATTCAATTTGCATTTTTTTTAATTTGAAAATTTCAGTATATTTTAATAACAGTGAGAGACATTATTAAAAAAAAAAAACAATATAAGGCAAACATTAAATAAATGTTTGATTTCACAATTTTTTTAATATAAAAATTCTGTAAAATTTAAAAGAGACCAGTGGCTGAACTTTGTAACTGTGAAAAAAGCAGTGAACAACGAGTGCGGAACTCACAATGAAAAACTACCCGATTAAAATGCTGTGAGTTTTTCGGAAGAGAAGTGTACACAATGTTTGCAATTAGAACTCATTCTCACACAGTCCAGAACCATTTTTAACCGATTTCACAAAAAGGAGAAGGTTATCATATCGTCGGAATATTTTGTTTTTGTTTGTTTTGGTCACCTATTTATATCATGGTAATTGTTGGTCTGAAGCTATCGACTACCCAACACGCTATTAATAAAGTAAAGGACACAGCTCGGCACAACCTTACCGATGATATCGACTGGGCCGAAGAGCATATCAATGGATCTTTTAAGATATCCAGTAGATCGATGAAATTATGTGAGTTAAGAAAGAAATTTGGTCAGTGTGGCTGAGTGGTTAGAGGTACGCACTACCAATCCGTAGTACCTGGGTTCAATCCCCAATCCGAGCAGAATCAAAATTAGAAAAATATTATCGAGTAGCGCTGAAAACAGCTTTTATTAAAACTCCAGGCTGTAAAGGGTTTAAGAATAAACTTTGATTATTGCTTTCCGTATACAGATATTTGCTGCTTTTGATTAATGATTTATCTAATGCAGTGGAGAAATAACGGAAATTAACTTTTATAAAAACAAACAAATATCTACTGCTTGTCATGACACTCGTATGTATATACATACACACATACATATCTACATATGTACTTGTTTACAAATACGTAACGTATTTACTTTTAGGTCACAGATATTTTAAATAGTGAATTGCAGCTATTTTAAAAAAATAATAATAAAAATCGTAGTCACTATGCTAATGTCAAATACTGCATTCGGAAGATAATTTACATGCCAGCCTTGGAATATATGTAAGTATATGTACTAGAGGGCGGCACGAAGGCATTCAAACTTCTAGCCAAACAGGGTACAGTAGTTAAGTAAGTTATATATAGAATACACATACATATGTAGAAAAATATTTTTGGATATTCATACAAAAAATTGTAATCTATTTCAATTCAATTTTTTTACACTTTGTTTGAATATTGTAATGTCGACACATATGTATATCAGAACAGGTATTCATTCAAATTCCAAAAAAATTTAAGCCCAAAATCATTCATTCGTTTCGTATGAATTATTCACAAGCTGTTTTGAATGAATTCATGCAGCCCTCTAATACGTACCTATATATAAACTGCTTGTGTATGCGTACAGAAATATATATGTGCATATGTTTGTAAGTATGTGCGTATATGGAATTACTCAGCATTTAATTAGCAATGCAAAGTTGAATTTTTGCACAGCCTGAATATTTTTCGAATGACAAAGAAAAACATCTTTAAACACTTAAGAATTTACATTTTAGTGAGTCATGGCGACTCTTGTTTTTACGTAAAACTTTAGAAGAAATTTCATAAAAACTCGCAATGTTGAATTTCCAAACTGGGCTAGCTTATCATCTTTTTACTAACCCACTGGTAGCTACTTAATAGTTTTAAGAAAAATATTTAGGCTTCAATGTAGATTGGTATGGTTTCAATTACCCCCGAAATTTTTAAAAGTTTTGACAGCAATTTTTTCGTATTAATTAATTTTTTGCTATTTTAACTATTGATGAATTAAATCAAGTAGTATAAGACTGTATTTTTTATAACTATTCCCGGAATTTAGAGGTCTATATCAACCGTTTGATTAATTTCTCCGAGCGCTCACCCAATAGCATAGCATATTTCTAGTTTGCTTAATGTATGAATATCAGAATGCCTCGGATTTCTTAAGCCTTGTTTGCACTATGTCAAATTTAATGGAACTTGTCGTCAAATTTATCAAATAGGATTAAAAGGTAGTATATCGATTGATTTCGATCAGGATAGATACTTAGTTTTATAAATGCGCTGCTGAATTGGCTTTCTATCTGTGTTTGGCCCATAATATCATCGATAAAGGTATAGATAACGCCTGGTGGTAAGGAACCCACTGTGCTTTTGAAAAAATCAGAAACTGCGATAGTTCAGTAACTACTGGTTTGCCGGGTTATTGGATTTAATTTTTTTTTTTAATTTTAGAAAATGGGTACTTATGGCTATATTTGAGTAGTTCGGTGTTCGCTTAACCCATGTCTCACTAAGCAATATTGTGAAAATTTTTAAAATCTGTCTGAAACCACGCCCATTTCCCATATAACGGGATATTTGAAAAATGCAAAATATGCGGTATTGAAAATCTTCCTTTATAAGGGCAGTTCCCAGATGAGCAATAACGTGTGCGCCGGGTATACGGAGTTCAGTTTCGAGCGAAATTATGACGTTACGCTAAGGCGAAGGCAATGAAAAGGTAACATTTTTTTTAGAAACGAAAACGATATTAGTCTTCTTTACTTGTTGAATATAACGCCGCATAATGGGACATCTCCATATAAGCTGCCGCCAAAGTGGTAACCGTGCTACAAAGAATTGTTCTTGCAACTATTTCAATCAATGGAGTTCCAGAAACAAGTAGAAAAAAAATTTAAAATCAAGTATTTAAACAATTTTAGCCTTAAGAAACTACTAATTCTTGAACCCACTTCAAAAAAGCAGGTTATCAATTCGTCGGCTTTTTTTTTGTATGTATGTTACCGCATAGCATTGAACCACGTTGATGAGAATTAAAGTCGGTTTTATTTTTTGCTTAAAAATTATTTGTTCATTGTCACTCGAAAAAATCTTAATTGCTTTTTATCCGACTTCGGAAAAAGGAGGAGGTTATCAGTTCGTCGGATTTTTTTTTTAATGTGTGTTACTGCTTAACTTTGGGCCACGCTAACCGATTTCGATAAGGTCGTACCTCAAGGGTGTTCCCATACTAATTTTGTTTAGATCCGTCACACAAATCCTATTTTTACAATTTTTATTGGCAAACTCGAAAGTCATTCTTAAACTGTTATATATATGAAAAAAGTAATATAAGTATATTTATGTGCAAAGTATATTTGTGTGTAAAAATCTTAAACGCCAATATTTAATTACTTGTTAAATAATATGATTTTAAGTTAAGGCGTGCGAGTAAACGTGTTAGCTTACTAGGTATGGTGCTACGGGGCGTATACGTTACATACGCAACTAATGTTTAGTTAAGAGCTTGAATGGTTATATTAATTTTTGGGTATATCTTTTCAAAGTTTTCATTTAAATACAATTTCGCTATGGAATCTCGTTCTACAAAACTGAATACTATGCACTTTCTAAGATAAGCGTAACACCACGTTTTTGTCAAAAAATGTAACAGCTCGTGAGGTAAATGTTATCCGATTTTTATAAAATTCCAAGTACTAAATTTTATAATTTTAGCGGGAAACTGACGAACACATTTTTTTTTTTTATATCTTAAGCAGTTCCTATTTCTTCCGTTTAAACATGAAAAAAAACGAAAACACTTACAATCAGGAACCGTAACAGTTATAAGTTATACAGCAATTATTTTTATAATTCAATTTTTATTTTGCATTCAACAAATAATACTTACACCATGAGTTTCGTTTCTCTCGTTTAAAAAATAATTGTTATTTGATGAGTTTTATTTTTCATTCAAAAATTTTAGGTTATTTGGTAAGTTTTATTTTTCAATTACAAAATGAAACTTAAAGGCTGAATATTAATTTATTTATTTGCGCTGACTTTTACTTTGTGAACGAAAAACAAAACTCATCAGATAACAATTATTTTGTGAACGAAAAATAAAACTCAACAAATAACAATTATTTTGTGAGCGTAAAATAAAAATTATTAAATAAAAGGTAATAGCTTATCCGAGTAGATCGTTGAGCAATGATCAATTTTTTATAACGATGCGTCCTGACGTTTCCTTAACGATGATTTTTTAGATACTATTTTGAATCAATAATAGGGACCGAAAATCCCTGCTTACAATAGCTGCGTGCTAAATTATGTGCATTTGCACTGAAACCTTCATTTCAGGCTGGCTTATTATACATAATATACACATGGAGCGATAACCGTCAAAAAACGTGAGCGAATTTTTTTCAACATTTTCTTAAGAAAATTATGAAAAAAATTTCACTTACCTTTTTTGGTGGTTAGGGCTCGATATATCCGCACTAGTAAAATAATTAATTAAAATTACTTGTGACAAAACTAATTTTTTTCTTACAACATAATTTGAACGTTGTTTCTACTTTAAGCTCGTTCGAGAACTTTTTAAATCAAACTTCGATCAATTTTTCCACATGTTTAAAATTCCACAGGTCATTTGTCCCTTTCAGTGGGAATCTATTTAACCCATTAATGTTAAGATACGACATGATGTCTGCATTTTAGGTCGCACTTGAAACACTAAGTCAAAGGATAGTTTCAAAAACCCGATCTGTTATCCTTTTTTCTCATAGTAAGTATGTATGTATTCTTATTTTAATTTTTCGGAAAATGTAATGCAAAAATTTCAGAAATTAAAGCTGGCAACGAAGAAGGTCATTCTTAGAACTAAAAAACTAATTTCAAAAATCCATATTTCTCAGCGGCTCAAGTGGTTAAAGATGCGCACTCACACTCGTTAGGTCCAAAGTTGGATCCCTGATCCGAGCAATACCAAACATGAATTTTTTTCTAAAAACGGTCGCCCGTTGGCAGGCAATTCACACCTCCGTGTGTATTTATGTCAGGAAAAAACCTTCTCATTAAAACCATTTGCCATTTGGAGGAGAAGCTCGGCCAAGCATTAGCAAATAGGTAAGCGCGAATTTCATTTTTATTAAAATCTTTGTCAAATTACTGCATATTTGAAGAAGTGGTCAATAATACACAATAAATGCAATTAACAAACCTCAATGGAGTAATAAGTTATTGTTATTACAAATACGAATTCCATAAATTTACTGAATTTTCAATTACTAATTTTGACTACTTCATATTTTAGGTATGTAAATCTTACATATAGATATGTATATTTATTTTTACTTATATATTGGAGGTATTTTTATTAATTCGCACTCAATGCTCGGCCACAGAGAATATTTGTCTTAAAGTGAAACTTTCAAGCTAAATTTCCTTTACGATTGCCTTTCAATGGAATTAATTTAATTTAATTTAATTCTCGGCAAATTGACTAGACTGCTGTAGCAAATATTCGCACATACACGCACACTCGAGCACACAAAGCGGAAAACACACCCACAAATTTATTATTTATTTATTCTTTTATTTTTTTATTTTTTTGTCATAGACAGTCCGAGACAACAGCTGGAGACCGGCGATTCTGTGTCTGTATTGTCTGGAATTGTGATGCCCAAATGTCAACATGCAGCGACTGACTTGCTGGCTGAGCAGCATCAGCAGCGGCTGCAGTCCCGCACACACACACACTTAAGTTTGCTAATTTATTTATGCAAGTGTGCATTGATTCTAGTTAAATGCTTTGTAAATATGTACGTATGTATGTATGTACATTGTATGTATGAATGCTAGCATTTTTATTTCATTTTCTTCAATCGCATTATTATATTTAGTCATTATTTCGTTTGATTTTTGTTTTTATAGTTTGTTGTTGTTTCACTTTATCACGCAACATCTCATAAATATAAATAAACAATTATTTCACTTTTTCTACATCTCAGCTTCAATCTCCCCTTACTTTCATCACGTACTTTGTATCGTATCCACTTGAAAATACTTGAAACACAATCCGTTGTGATTCGTTTGCGATTCGTTGTTAACTTTGCTTTTGTAGCGAACACAGGTTTTCGATGTTATCGCATCGATAGCATGTTGTACCGCTTAGCACGAGAGCCCGAAACAAACTGAGGCTCTAAGCTCACCTTTACAGTGGCCATGCTGTGCTTGGACACTTAGTCGCAAGCGCCAATATGGCCCCAATGCTGCTCAGTGGCAGTTCGCCGCTCAGCTACGCTGGCATGTGGCATGAGAGGTTAGTTGCTCTGTTGACTGCGGTTTTAGCTATTTGGATGCCAACCGGGCGAGAATTTCCCCATTTCGATGGAATTTCAGCTTCTCGAAGGAATCGGGGAGTGGCTTTAAATTTTGGGGAAACTCAATTTACAAAAGATTTTTATTGGAACATTCCTATTTAGAATAAAATTATAACTTTTGATAACAATCTCTCATTACGGTGCTATCGATTTAGAACATAACGTAAGTAAGTGTTTATCAATATAAAGAATTTTGCCAAAATTTATTTGAAAAAAAAAAAACTGCAATCTAAAATAGCACTTTTACTAAAAACAAAAAAAAAACACTTAAAAATAAAACATCTCTTGACTTGTAGACAATGACAAAAATCTAATCAAGAAACATATGGGAGGTTCCATGGGAAACTGAACCTCAGCGCTATTTTCTTTATAAAACTAACAAACGTCTGGATAAGTCATTTGTAAAAATCTTGAATCAACCAAAAAATAGCAAATCAAAGCTTTAAACGCATTTCTATTACCCTTTTTTACATTTTGATATCAAGTTCTAAGCAAATTTGTTGAAAGTAAGAAAAATATATAGCAGAACTCATCTGCTTTTAACAAAATTGTGTTATATATTAAATTGAGTTAGTGCTTTATCTATATTATGAGGCATTATTAAGCAGTATTGGTCTTGTCCCAACCGTGACAAACAAGCTAAAAGTTTTTATATTTAATTACAGAAGTTAAAGTTGTGTTTCGGGTTGTTGTTTTTTTTTCACATACGGGTGGGACAGTTATCAAGGGCTGATAAGCTTTATTTATTTGTTGAGGTGGACGCCGGAGAGGAGGGGGGAATCGCGAACTCGCGCATTATTTATATACCTTTATAATCAGCTGATTAAGTTAAGTGACATTTTGACCAGTTTTGGTTTTTTCTTTTGTTTATTTAATGTTTTTATAAAAGTCTATCAAATCACATAACCAGAACCACATAAATACCCATTTCAAACTTCGTACACAAATTATAATAATTCAACAAACTTTAACAATTACAACCAAAAATTTTAAACTTTTTGTTTAGAATTTTCAGAAAAATTCTAGGTGTGCAATTTTATAGTCCATTAAATTTTTAATAATTTTTTTGGCTGACGGTCCTAGGCATTTTCTTCTATATGTCCTAAGATAAAACGATAAAATTTAACCCCTATAAAATTACAAATATTTATGATAAAAGCTCCTTTTCATATAAACATTCGTACGTGTCCCACCCGTGATAAACGTTGTCCCACCCGCGACAGATGAATTTCGGATTATTTTTATAATAAAACCATAATTTTTGTTGTAGTTTTTTCTTTGTGTATGTTTGCGGTTCTTTGTTTTATTATAAGACATCAAGTTCACACCGAAAAGCGAAATAAATTCGCAGAGTTTTCCTAAAATATATCTGTTGCAAAAAGCAGGCTGTTTTTTTTTTGTCCTGCCCGTTTCAAAAGAAATAACTTGGATTTTTTCCATATATGTAAAAGTATGCCGCAATTTTTTTCGTATTTTGTAATAACTCATATAATTAGGTCAATTAGGTGTAGCTTTATCAGAATGTAGAATTGTTGAGTACTTTATACTTAAATTTAAATGAAAAAATGTCTCGTCCGTGACGGTGGAATCGCCGATATGTTTCTAACGAATAATCTTTCTATGCCTGATATACATATATGATGCATATGTTATTATGCATGTATTATTATAAAATACTGTCCTTATTATGTCATTATAGTTAATGATATTTCTTGTTTAATTTTTAATAAAAATGGGAATGAAGTGTCTTAAATAGTAAAAGTCATTTTGGGGGAATACCATTGTTAATAGGGGATTTTTTCAGGAATTTGGAGGAATTAGCCTTAAATGAGTTGACATCCCTGGTTTGGGGTATTGCTATTTGCTATTTGTAGTTGCTGCTTGTGTTGTATGTATGTATGTACATACGTACTTAACTGTATGCCCCCTCTCGCGCTCTCCACTACTTCGCTATCGATAAGTTTATTTTTATCGCAACTCCGCCGCGGTCATGGAGCACAAAAGCCAAAGCAAACAGTTATCATTTTCGTATTTAATTATTTCTGTGTATGGTTGCGTACTGTATATATATGCGGGTGTGTTGAAGTCTACATATGTATGTATGTATTGGTGCATCTGCATTTTTGGAGTGCACAACTTATAAGAGTAAGTTCTTGTGGTATGCCTTAGGGCCTGCGTAATTGAGCGGTGTGTTGCCACCTCAGTGATTTAAATACAAAATCTTACTGATTTTTCACTTTCATATATCAGCCTTTTAATGCTGAGTAGGAGCAGTTGGTGTTGCTCATCACTTTAAACTGCCGTTTTAGTTTCGCGGGGATACCAAATTGAGACAACGGGGCATATAGGGGCAGCTCATTTTCGTGCCGCCGAAAGTGGCCTTAAAATCAACACAGAGATAGTGTCTTGGTATATGGTGAATACCTGCAGCCTTATTCCTTCGACTTATCACTATACAGTTTTCGGATAAGCCTTTTTTAAGTATAGTTAATAAGTGTTGCTTTTTAACCGACTTCCAAAAAAGGAGTAAGTTATCAGTTCGTCGGAATATATATATATTTTTTTTATGTATGTTGCCGCATAACTTTGGACCACGTCAACCGATAATTCTCTTTGCATCGGAAAGGTAGTGTCTCAGAGGTGGTCCCATACTAATCTGGTTAAGATCCGATCAGTGGATCATGAGATATATATATGTGTATATATTTTTTTTATATGAGAGGTGAAGTCGGTTTTGTTTTGCTAAAAATTACTTGATATGTATATGTACCTTTCAAAAAAAATGTGAACTTATCAAAAAGTAAGTAATAAGTAAGCAAATAGATAACTTTTCCAGTAAAATGCTTCTTTAAAAGGATAAGCGTTTTTTAATGGCTATTACATTATATGTATGTACATAAAAAGGGTATTTTGAATAATTTCTTTGCAGAAATCTGGCATCGCTTTTGAGAGTATTACATTTGTAACAATATTTGTAGCGGTCTTGTATTGTAATAAAACCGGTTGATTGTTTGTATGCCGCTCACGGAGCCAATTGTAGTATTGGCGATGTGCTGGCTTTCTTGTAAATTTTGGCCCCCAGCACTGGAGAGCGCTGGATGTTAGTACGTGCCAGTACACGGTGTATGTAAACAAATTTTACAGGGTAACAATTCAAAACGAAAACTTTATACATTTGAGAGCAATTTAGTGTCATCATTGTCAAACCATGGCTCTAAATCTGGTGGGGTCTATTTATACATATACATACATACATACTTATGTACGTACTTACATATGTAGCGTCGTTATTAAACTTTATTACCAGGCATAAGTGAGTCGGAAATGTTATCTTAGGAAGTATAGACAGATAGAGTTTCTGAAATATATAAAAACAATATACATTAGGGCGGGTCAATTTGTATGGGAGCTTTTTCGACTATGCGCTTATTGTACAGAGGGATTGCCGAAACAACGGTGGGTCGAAAATCAATTTACAGTTAGCCAAATTGCGAAAATAGGTTCCTTAGCATTTTGCTGTAGTGTCGTAGTGACGTAAAATATAAGTAAATGAGTATAAGTGAAAGAATGGTATTTTCAGGGATAGTAGTTGGTAGTTCTAGCTTTAATTTAAGCCTAGGGTGAAGTTCTATCACATTTTGTTTGCTTGCTTGTGCTTCTCAAATATTGCAATGGAGCCCTGTGGATTAGATGTCAACTAATGAAGAAATCGAATAAAGCAATTAGTTGGCCTTCGGATGCCTATGGTCAAATTTAGTAACATATTTTATACTTATGTTTGAATGTTTTAATGTTGAATCGCCTAGAAAATCGCCTCATGCAAATCCAGCTAGCCAGCGGTTGTTAAAATACCTCGATGGTTCTCTATCGCAGACTCAGGCAACGAATTGCCAGACGCGTTTAGCATTCGATAACAATCGGTCAAAACAGCTCGGACTAGCTTGTGCAACATGGCAACTTTATTTGTACCTGCATGCAATTAATTTTTATAAGAAAAAATGGAATCATTGCAAATAATACATACATATAATAACTATGAAAAAAACAAATAAGCATATTCTTGTAGGTTGGTAAATAAATAAATGAGATCAGAGATAGTAAATATTGGGAGTACAGGCTTCAAGGAATTGTTTTTTTTTTTTTATTTTATTTTATAAAGAATACATAAAACGACGAATTTGTTATTGTTAAAAATATTAATTAAACACAAAAACATTATTTTTGGTAAATTTTCCTTAGCCGTATACCCAGCAATCTCTCAATCAGTATAAATTTGAACTTGCGAACAATATTTTTAACCAACTTCCAAAAAAGGAGGAGGTTATCAGTTCGTCGGTAAATTTTATTTTTTTTTATGTATGTAACTTTTGACCACGTTTTGACCGATTTCGATAATTCTTTTTCCATCGGAGAGGTAGTGTCTCAGAGGTGGTCCCATACTTATCTGGTTAAGATCCGATCAGTGGATCATGAGATATACATATATATATTTTTTTATATGAGAGTTGAAGTCGGTTTTGTTTTTTGCTAAAAATTACTTGTTAAAATTAAAATTTGTATGCGGATATGTAAATATGTATGTATATTTAAAATAACGCTAGAATATCTGCACTTACAATATTATACCTGTACAAGGCTTCGAAAGCTATCGATTGAGTTCACACGATCTCGTCGGTGATAAGTCAGTCGACTCCAAACAATCGAAAACCATATCGATTGTACAGTCGGGTAGTGAGTCGATTATTGACTCGAATGTAATTTTGCAACGATAACGATCTCTCGATCTTTCAAACATCTCGGGCTCGCCCATTACTAGAAGTCTTTAATAAGAACAAATCGATTTCGAAATGTGACTGTACTGTGGACGATAACCATATATTTTGTACACTT